AGGAAGGCGAGCCGGGTGCAGCCTGGGGGGCTACTCTGGACGAGACTGTGGTGCATGTCGAGCGGGTCGTAGCATACTGGAGTCGAACCCTCAAGTCAGCGGAGCGGAATTACAGCACGACAGAAAGGGAAGCATTAGGAGCAAAGGAAGCCTTAGTGAAGTTCCAGCCGTTCATTGAGGGAGAGCAGGTCCTACTCATCACGGATCACGCTGCCTTGCAGTGGGCGAGGGTGTACGAGAACGCTAACCGGAGACTAGCCGCGTGGGGGGCGGTATTCGCAGCTTACCCTGGTCTAAAGATCGTGCACAGACCAGGCCGCATGCACTCCAACGTGGATCCGCTATCCAGACTACCAAGGACTCCGCAGCATAGCTCCCCGGTTCGAGACGACTTACAGTCCATTAGCTCCGACGACGAAAAGCGAAAGGTAGCGCAGGAAGCTGAAGATCGTATGGGGAAGTCAGCGGCTCGCAAAGCAGCTTTTACAGCTTGTTGGTCGGAGGACTTGCTGGATGCACAGGCTTACGCTGTTGGAACGGAGTCGAAGGAAAGCCTTCCCGGAAATTGATCAATGGTCTTATCCGTTAGACGCGCTCCCTGAAGGGAAAGAAGAGGAATGGGAGAGTAAAGCCCACTTACTAGTAGCCTTGAGTCCTGAGGTTATAAGCGACTTCATGAAAGGTTATGAAGAAGATCCATTCTTCAAACAATACTATGCGGAGGAAATTCCGAACCCACGTGTAGCCATCACCCCTTCTCATTTTCGTAAAGGCTCAAACGGATTACTCTACTTTATTGACACTCGCTGGGAGACTAGACTCTGCGTCCCTCGATCTCAAGTACAATTTGTGCTAGAATGGATTCATGAAGCTCCACATGAAGCCGCTCACGGAGGCTTCGTCAAAACGTTGGAACGAGTTAGAGAACTATTCTTCTGGAAAGGCATGAACCGAAGTACTGAGAAGTTCTGCGAGACTTGTGACATATGTCAGAAAACCAAGTTCAACCGCTCTAAGAAGATGGGCGCGCTACGTCCTTCACATATTCCATCACAACCATTCGAACAAAAGTTTGTAGTTGACATATAGTTTATAGTGTCCTTGACTCTGTATAGGTTATGGGGATGAGGTTAAAGGATTGACATGATTTTACATATTGCCATTGCTGCAGCATTTACTTTTGACATCATGTACAAATTGTCTTTCACATCAAGAAAGGCTATTCTATGCCTTCATATTGATAGCTACTGTCCTATCTCAAATCATGGTTCTAGGTCCATGTGGATATGGTTTGAAGGATTAAATTGCTTTACATATTACTACTGCCAAACCAAATGATTAGTTTTTGACATCATACCCAAGTTGCCTTTCACATCAGGACAGGCTATTCTCTGATTTCACATTGATAGTTGCTGGTCTGTCTGCTTTCACATTGATAGCTACTTGCCTGTCCCAAACCTAGTCAACTGTGATATCAGCTCTTTCAGGGCAATAGGATGAGCTGATTGGTCCCTGGAAGTATCCTTAAGTCAGGTCATGATGTAAGTTAACAATGTATTGAGACAGAACAGTAGATATTACTATGAATGGCTTTTTCTGGCTTGAAAGCCAACTTGGGCATGATGTGAAAAGCTGATGATGTGGCAATAGCAATCAATATGTAAAGTCATGTGAATCCTTTAGCCAGTTCCCCATAAACCTACAAG